TGTTGGAGGAAAAAGAAAAGAAACAAGAAGAGAGATTACAGCAGTGGCAACTGGAACAAGAAAGGAAACGGGAAGAAAGTCTCCAACAGTTGCAGGAAAGTCAGCAGCAAGTACAGGAAAGTCAACAACAGTGGCAAGAAGTACAAATGGAAAACATTAGTAAATTTCAAAGTGAATTAAATTAATTAAAGGATGATTTACTGTCTTTTATACAAGGTAGATATTGTTACGTCTCCGTTTGTTAATTGATTTCCGTAAATTCGTTCTGACGAAACTTTAGCGACACAAGTCCTTACTTAATAAAACTGGTTTATTCTTTCTGAATATAACTTTACCGAAACACTCAACTTCAACAGTTGCGCTATAACAAACTATAATTCACGTATCACGAGCTAGACTTCAACAATACGTCTCTCTCTGACTGCAGATCAATTACTTACTGTTTACTCACACATTATTCCGTCACGTTGTCACCCTCTTATATATATACCAGACTACCCTATATCTAGTAAATGCTAGGGCATTCACGAAGGAACAAGATACTTCTAGAAACGTGGCGTGACACTAGTCACGTGACCTCGCTGACGCAACAATATATTAGCCATGGACCTAATCAGCCTCAGACAACGGGAAGCCCCTTCCAGACCCTGCAGCTAAACCCTAATGCAGACATCTTCAATCCTGTCAGAAGTCCCATTCCAGACATGAGTGTCAGCAATAGGGGTGATCTAGTACGAAGGAAGCCACAGGAATTCGATGGGAAGGCACCGTGGGAAGCATATACAGCACAATTTGAGCTCCTGGCAGAGATGAATGGATGAACAGAGGAGCAGAAAGCAGTATATCTGGCAACGAGCTTGAAGGGACAACCACTGGAAAAACTTGGACAGTTGTCAGCAGACGACAGACACAACTATAGAGCACTGGTAGCTGCTCTAGAGCTCAGGTATGGAACCCCAAACCAATCTGAAGTCTACAGGGCTAGGTTTAGGACGAGAGTCCGTGCTAAAGGGGGGAACCTGCAAGAGCTGGCACAGGATTTGGAAAGTATGGCACACAAGGCCTACCCAACTACACCACCTGATGTCCTCAAGTTGTTGCTGAGGGATCAGTTTGTAGATGCCTTGGACAGTCCACAGCTGAAGATACAAGTAAAGCAAGCATACCCCTCTACTATA